CCCTTTTTCCTTACCAAGTTACAAGTTTATACCTCACTCCAGTGCCTATATCTATGACTACCTCATTTTATTTATGAAAAGGAGGGGGGAGATGTAGTAGATAGGGACAGGCGAACGGAAGATCTCGGGATGTGACGGAAAGAAAGACCCCCTTCCCCCTCTCCTCCTGCAGCACGTTATCCATTACCCCAAAGAATGTAACCACACCTAACCCAGTAGTTTTCCACTCCTGACTAACCCTAGAGACCCTACCAAACCCCCCTGACATAGCAAAGTCCCCCAAGACTATTTAAACCCATGAGATAAGATAATAAACGTTTTGACTGTCCACCACACTGGTGTTAGCGTCTGCTGTTAGCCCGAGTATCCCAGACTAGGCCGGGCTGCCGTGCTGTTCCTTGCAACCAGGTCGCCTTGCCTTCCCCTGAAGACAAAAGTCATCAGTTTTCCCACAATCTCTGGAGGTGAAGTAGATAGTATAACCTGTAGTCTCTTTAGAAAAGATGTACTCTTACTGAAAAGGGTGCAAGAAGTTTTTAAAATTCATATGAATAATGATCTTCAAAACACTGCAAGAAATCAAACTTTTAAATGACACCTTAGGACCCTGGAGTAGATATTCCTGTACTCACAGATACAGTCTCCTGCTCTGCAGAAACACAAAATTCCTTGTACACTGCCTTCACGGGATCATCTTCTGCCCTAACACAAATATTGGTTGATCCACATCAGGGTCAGAAAACCAGCTTGTGTATGAGGTGGCTGTAGTAATTGCCCTTGCCAAGAAGGTGCATGTAATGCTATCCTGGGTTGTAAGATAAGCTTGTATTCTATTTGCCATCTGTTGGAGGTAGGGCAGGTTTGTTATCTCTCAAGAACAATGGTTTGCTCTGAAGAGGTAATGGTTTGTTAATGGGCCATTGACTGATTCAATGCAGGGCTGGTAACGTAACACCATCCCATTGTGAGGTGCTCCACCCAGAGGGGGAAGCCAAGCACTCTTTTATTGGATAAAAGGGGTACCTTTTGGGGGACAGAGCAGCTCTCTCTCTTTGTGGGATTTCCCAGAGAAGCAGCTCTCTCTTTGCGGGATTTCCCAGAGAAGCAGCTCCTTCGGCAGGACTCCCAAGAGAAGCAGCTGGAGCGCGGTGAGGCGGCGGCGGTGGAGCTCGGAGGCAACCCCGGCGCAGAGGAAGACCGGCCCCCACTGCCACCAGATCTTCAGAGAAAAATTATACCCTTCTAAAGAACACCACTTCAGCTGCAATTCATCAGCCACTGCAAGAGGAGCAGCTATCATTTCAACTGGACTGCTACTGGCGCCCCGAATCCTCAGGTTGTGGACTTTATCACTAGTTTTGTTTGTACTGATTGCATTTGCCTTTTTTTTAAATTGTTATCTAGTTTTCTCCTAGTAAAGAATTGTTACTCCCATTCCCATATCTTTGCCTGAGAGCCTTTTAATTTAAAAATCCTAGTAATTCGGAGGGAGGGGGTTTACCTTCTCCATTGCACAGGAGGCTTTAGCCCTCCTTCACAGACTCCTGTCTTGTCAAACCAAGACAAATGCCACAAAAATTCACTTAGCTTTATCAGTTAGTACCTACCATCACAAATCAGATTTTTGCTTTGACAGCCTGTGAATCTCAGCCCTGAACAATCAATACAGATAGTTATTTTACAAACTCTACTTTACCTACAAAGGGAAAATGTAAAGCAGTTTTACCGTCTGACAGTATTACAAGTGACTGCCTTTACAGCTGTGAGCAAAGTCAGTCTCCAGTCCACCCACTTAATCCCCACTGTCATTTCCATCACTCCTTTTTCTTTATAACTTTTTTTCCTCCTGTGCATTATGTTCTAGGGACTTTTGCTTATTCACTCAATACATGCCTTGCCATAAATTCATTTAGGTGTTGCTTATGTGTTTTTTTTCCTACTGCTTTTCATACTGCCTATATTTAGCACCAAACCCCAAAATGTTACCAAAATCATTCCATACTGTAGTGTGATCTGGTTGGTTTGTTGGTGGGCATGGGCAACACTCATTAGATTCCTAGGCTTTGACACTTGCCTCATACTCTCTTTGTCATACTTTCACCACTTCATCTCAGGCATGTTAAAACTTTCTCATCAGATTTCCAAATTAGTGGTTGGGTTTGTGTTTGCATTTAACTGTATTTCTATGTGCACTGAAAATTTTTATTAAAGTTGCTTATATCATATTAAATAGTTTTTTTTCATCCCTTTTAGATATATACAGATATACTGAAGAAAATACATACATACATATATACTGAAAATGCATTAAATATAAATCCATATTTGCACATTCATCTAGGTATATGTTTACCTATGTATAAACACATTTATACAGCTAAGCATAGATATGTTTATGGGACTTTGCATGTACATCCAGGGTAACCAAGTGGTGTGAACTCCCACCAGCCAGTCACAGGCTCTGAGAGGTCACAGAGCACCTGGCTAGTCTCAACAGCAGCAGCACTGGAGGCTCTGGAAGAAGAGCCATGGGAAAAAGCAGGATGTCCTTGTCACAGGGGTCCTGAGCTACCTCCAGGGTAAGGGAGAAGGAGTATTCCCCCAGAGGTGTGGCACATGGGGGCATTCAGTAAAGGGGTATGGGCAGAAGGGACTTCTGGGGTAGCATCCCTTCTACCCATGATGTGGGTCTCATGAAGACATTTGTCATGTAACAGGACCACCCAGATGGATGGTCATGTGCCAAGATGGCTTCTAGGGCCAACTGGTGGTGTGACTGAAGAGGATAGGAACAGCATCTGTCACTGCTCACCCTGTGTGAAAATCACCTTTTAATTATCAAAAATTAATTCCCACAGGCAAGAGCTGATGAGCTCACAAGAAAGTACTTTGCTGCTTCATAGTAGCAATAAGCAGAAATCCACTAATTAGCTTCAGTAATTTCATCAATTGTCATGTCATGAGCAGAGATAAATGCCTTGGTATGACCAAACCTGTCTTGCTTTAAGTCCCAGTTTATAAGAACTTGATTGTTTTCTTTTTCCTTGCTTATTTGCTCAGCACAACTGTAACACGTTGCAGGAGAATATAAGCTGCTTTACCTGTATCCATTACTTCCACATCTTAATAGTAAAACATCAGATGACGCAGACCTCCATGGGTCAGGAATCTGTTTATGCACTCTATCTGTTTGAAATCATGTTAAGATCATAATATGTCATTGATTTTATTCATATCACAGCAGCAGAGAAAGCCTTTGCTTATTTACTTTTTTACAAGCATTAGGACTTCATCAATTCAAGGCTGCCATCAAGCATCATGGAAGCATGTATTGGTAGTGCAGTCCACAAATCTCACATATAGGCCATACAGGCTGAGGAAGAAACTGAGTTGCTTTATGCTAATATGCTGATTGATGTCTCAGCACTTGAAAGTCTGGCCTTATCCATTATTTTTCTAGATCTGAGTCACTCTTCTATGTAGTCCCTAACTATATTAGCTATCTTCAGCAGAAAAAGCTCCTTTAAGCTCATCTTCAGAAACATTAGATGGTGCCATTTGTGCTTTCTACTGCATAAAAAAAGGCTAAAATATCACCAGAAGCTGGAAGAAAGACACAATTATCCCTCTTCCATTAATAACAAGCCTCAGTTACACCAACTGCTATTCCAGAAAACCTTGGCTCAGCCCTCCAAGATGAGATCAAAACAACTATTACACTTCTCTCTTTCCAGGTGTAGAAATTGCCTATATTTTCCTCATCTGACAGCTATTCTCAGGCACTATAGTTTGCCAGGAAAACCATTTAGAGATAGAATGCGCAAAGGCTGAAACAAATTCTGCTTTTTAATGTGCATGACGGTGTTCTGCACTGCTCATTTGCTATCTCATGAACTCACAGAAATGTTGGAAGGGATCTTTGGGAGGTCTTGAAGCCAGTGTCCTATGTCACCAACAACAGCTCAGATCATCTAGAGCTTTTCCTAGACTGAGACTCAAAAACCCCAAGGACAGAAATTCCACAACTGACTTGAAGTAACCTATTCCCATGCCAGGGGGAGGGAAGGTAATTCCTATTACCCTCCTGGTGAAGAAGGGTCTCTTGGTGGCCATTTTGCAAGATGTGGCTTTATCATTGAAGTTATCATCTGCACCCGCTGAGAATAGTTCAGTTGTGTCATCTTTGCAAGCACTCTTCAAGCACCTGCAGGCTACTATTTGAGTGCCACTCAGCCTCTACTTCTCCCTTATCTCATTCTTCATGTGCCCTGTGTCCCACCCTTTCTTACTGGTCTTCCACTGGACTTTCTTCAGTTTCTCAACAATATTAGCACTGAAATGTGAATGCATAAATTGAAGGCATGCTGATGGAAAGAGAATACAAGAGAAAACAAACCATAAAAACCCAAACCACAGCCTTGTTTACTTTAGTGTCAGGAAGTAAAATATCTACTGCTGTCTACCCAGCTTTTTAAAAAAGTGATATTTTTCAATGTCTCAGTATCTGAATTTGTATTAGCCCTCATGCAGTCACAATCAGATCACATAAGCCATTCTCTTTTGTCAAGTAGCTTCTACTTATTTTAATTTGCTAAACTAGATTGCAATACAGTCTCACAAGAGCTTCTGGCAGCCTTATGGAAACAATAACATGCAACCTTGCTGTTGCCAGGACTCTTGAACCTCTCTGTACTCTGTACTCAAGGACTGGGAAACTTCACACTGTGGTTTCACTATGAAATACAATCCCAAGTTTTAGCACATTAACTATAACCACTGGAAAGAAGAAATTCTAATCAATTTAAAATCAATATCATTACAATAGGTTTTGGAATTAAGGACACTTTTGTTCAAATTAATTAAAAATGCTGAAAAATATTTTTTCATGGAGGCTTGAGTGATCTCAGGTGTGAAGTCTAAAAACTCTCTCACCATGAATTTAATGGTAATATTAGTTCCAAAGTATACCATGAGCTTCACTTTCAAATTCATCAGATTACCTGGTTTCCATCAAGAATAGCATCTTCTCCTTTGTCCAGATTCACACAAGAGGCAATGATATCCAGTAAGTAATCATGTCTGCCATCCAGATGAGCACGTTTAGCCTCCCTCTCATCCTTGAGCTTTTGCTGTTATTAAATACAAAGTGGACAATGAAATAGTCACAATCTAATTTGAAGGCAAAAATAAAGAAAACTTTAAAATTTATGTTTAAAATTTATTTTTGAAAGTAAAGGCTATTACATTCAATCCACACTTGTGATTTATGGTTTTATGGCACTCAAATGAAAATTTTAGAAGCAGCCTTTGTTACAATTTTACAGTTTGTTGCTGGTGTTCCTTTTTAAGATTTATCACTACATTTCTATCATAAATAATGTTGTACAGAAAGCTAATTTGTTGAAAGGCTTTGTAGGAAAATAAGTATTTAGTATGTACAGCTCCATTATTCTGCAATTTACTTTCAATACCCTAAATCCTTTGTCTCAGCTTTTCAGTCTAGTCACATATGACCATCAAGTCAAGACAGGATTCTGACTGGTCTTTGTTATGAGTGGAAGATAGTGTAAGCACTCCCTAATAAAGACAGATGCTGCTGCAGGAAGCTAGGGTTTTGTACATTATATCTTTAATATAATGAGAACTAAAACAAACCACAAACAAGCCTACTCTTCTAATTAAATTGAAATCCCATATGTAACACAACTCATTACATTATAGACAAAATAGCCTTCTGGAATAGTTACTGGTATTATTGTGCTTGTGGGTTACAAGATTCAATATAATTTCATTTTCAGAAGAAATTTAGAATTCTGTTTCATTGGTGGTAAATTCAATCCTCATTTTCCTGGTGATTAGGAGAAAACTAGTAACTTTATAAAGTATGCATAAGTGATTTATCCACAAGCTTTTGCAGAGCCAAAAGGAGCTGCATAATATACTTTATACCCTTATGTAAATATCTTTCCTACTTTCTGAAGGAATTTTCAAATACATGGTAAACTTGTAACTACTACCATGCCTTCATAAATGCTGAATGCATTTGAAATATTTCTCTGTATAAAAGACAAACATACAAATCCTATTCTTTACAGAGATATGTCTGAAGAACACAGAAGCAGATTAATTCATACATGTACTTTGTGCTTTTTTACCCCTCTCATACCCTAACATGTTCTCCAGTTTCCTGAAAGTAAAGCGTCATCACAGGACTGGATTTTCCTACATGTTTTTAAACATAAGCATAAGTTTTCCTCCTTGTTAGACATGCAAAAAGCAACCATTTTTTTCTGAATCAGCTTCATTCACATTAGATGATAACAACAGAATCCTCAAAACTATTGTTCCAGTAATTTGAACACAACTGATAGGGCATCTTTAAGAAAAAAAAAAAAAAATACAACCCAATACTCTACCAGTTAGATTCTATTTAATACAGAAAGAAGCATTTTGTTTTACCTAAACTACAGAGAGACTACCTTTGTACTCTGCTTGTGTTTCCAATATAGAGCTCCAGATACATTACTATACAAGACTACATCTTACACTGTTTTTTAAGTAATCAGCTCCACCTATACAGATGCTCTTGACATGTTCATAGCCTCCATTTCTTCTACAAGTTTCTGTTTGCATAGGCTGAAATCATGAGCACATTTTTCTCAAACTAAGCAATCATTCCCCAACATTTGTTTCTGGTTTTTAAAACTTGTTTTAATTGCTGTGTCTCAAGCCCTATGACACATATATAAACTACTGTGCATAGCTATTCATACAGCACTGGGCAATATTTGTTGTCTAAGTCCAGCAACAAGAATATTTATTAAGTTATCACAAAACTTTAGAAGTCTAATTAACTTAAATTACTTAATGAACCATGCCTAGAGAAACGGGAAACTATTAAATGGTAAAGCTATAGTTTTATGAAGATTAAGACTTTAACTTGTGTTTATCATGTCACTACTGAAAGGCGTTTGTTTTGATATGTTGGATATTTCTATTACTAATGCAAGTTCCACACATTTTTTTCCTGAGAGTTGCTAAAATGCAATGCAAGAATACTCAATACAATTCAAGCTGTCATGCTTCTTTATTTTAAGGAGTTATCATTTTCAGAAACTTCCTTCCCAAATGAAATGTTGTTCAATCACAAACTCACACATTAGTTGTTGCAGTCATTAGAAGAACCTTCTGCCTCGCTTTTAGGTTTCCTCTACTTTTCTGTGTAAAACATAATTCTTTAGGTTGTACACCAAAAAGTAGAGAAAATCCAACTTCAGTACTTTCAAAAGCAAGCCACTAATTTATGTACTTAAAAACACTAGGAGGCTATGCTGGAAACTGTCTTCCAGTCTAGCTTCTGAGCTTCTATTTGCATACTGCTAAAAGAACGAATTTTAAAGATATTCTTTACTTAGGATTAGGAATATCAGAGAATAAATTACAAGAAAATGCTGAGCTTTCTGTCACTCATTCTTCCCTTTCCCCTTTAGCTAACCTCACATCTCACTTCAAATCAGCATTGTTGTCGTGGCCTAAGAGTTTTTGTAATTTTATATCCTGCAGTATTCACTACAAACGTACATAGGCCTAAACAGAATCTATATCAAAAAATATTACCCAATAATAGGCAGCTCTATGTTATTCAGAATTTCATAGAACACTGAAAGACTGAGATTTGAAGATGGAAGGATGCTGAAACACACATAGGATCATTTATTAGGTAAAAGAGAAATTGCTGTTACATGCAATAACACAGACATGCAAATCCTGACTAGTATCACCAGCAACTCTGATCAAGGTCATACATCAAAGCCCCTTCCTAATGTCCCATGATGTAGGAGGATGCAGCATTTACAAGAGATAAACACTGTGTCAGTTAGATATCTGGAAAGATTTTCTAAGTTTTTTATAGTACAGCTTCAGCTCAGTTTTTCATGTAAAGAACACAGGTAACACAGCCAAGTTAGTTTGGGTTTCTTTAACCACTTTTGGTTATGAAGGTGTGAGAGGTCATATGACACAGTCCCACAGCAGATGAAGGTCCAAAGCTAAACTTGTTAACTGAAAAGTCCTTTTCTGGTGATTAGTCCAGTTACAACATGTAGCTTGATTTATGTCACATAAAACCTTAAAATTCCTTAATCCTAAACACTAACAATTTGGCACAGGAAACTAATTTCAATAGACATCTTCTCCTGAAGCAAGAAAAGGAAGAGATTCCTAAATCTATCTTTCATATACCTAAACCCATAAACATCTCACCATTAGTGTTAAGAAATAATTTGAGATTAAATTTAAATTTTCAAAATATTTCCTAGCTGCTAAAAAAGTATATATATTTAAACAGCAGGTACTAAAAGAGCACAACTCAGAGATGCAAGGGGTTCATTTTTTGAAACAACAGGTTTAGAAACCAGCTATTGACTATTGCCAGCTTCTCCATTACAGACTGTAGCTACAGATGCAGATACCCTGAATAGAGTTAGCAAGAATGTTGTTTAGTATGCAAGGCATATGCACACAAGACAAAACTTGTTCTGAACACTCTTTATCCAGCAAATGACACATTTTGTTGTCAGAATACTGCACAATGCTGAATTCAAACATGCTGAAATCAAAGTTCAATAGTGAAAGAGTCAAAAAGTAACAATGTTTTATTGTTAATTTACTCTTATTCAAAATTTATTTAACCAGCGTGGAATTCCTTTGTCTCTCCTTTAACTTGCTAAGATCTTTTATGTTACATAAGCCTTGCTCATGAATTTCCCATCAAATGTAAACTGCACACCATTTCAAATATTTTCAAGCACCCTGAGTTTTTAATTTTCAAGTTTCAATGTTTTTATTTCCTCTTTCCAAAAAAATACAAACCCTAAAGAATTAGGGCAGTTCCCTTATCTAACTCTTAAACCTCAAAAATTAGAGCTCTGCACATGTCATCACATTGCATTAACTGAGGAACAGTTTGCTTAGATAACCAGCTTTTAAAATGAGTCTCTTAATGACTTCTATAGTCTATTGTGGTTTCTCAATGCTAAATATTGCCTTCAAAATTCTATTCCCATCTTAGAAGTATGGGGAGAGTGAAGTTACATTTCTATTTTCCTTCATGGCAGTGTCAACCCATGTTTTGTTGCCACATCTAATATAAAACTCTTTAGTGTACTAATATAGCATTTGTGAAATTATACCATTACCAGACCATTGCAACAATCTGGGCAAGATACAAGCAGCACTAGCATAATGCATAAACACCTCCCAGTGCAAATTTGCCTTTCAAAACAAATTGTGCAACTAACATCATCCACTTATGCCTATTTTAAAATACTTTTTTTCTGTGCCCTCCCCTCTCAGTACACATCGTTATTCAAATTCTATATTTATTAGTCTAAACATGATTCAAAATTCAGTTTTCCTTACCTTTATCACTCTGCCAATGCTTTGTTTCCAAAGTTGCTTTCTTCCGGCTCGAAACATTGTACTATTCAATATAAGCATCAAGCACTGTTTTTCAGGAACAAGCCCTAATCCATGGGGAAAGCTTCTACATTCATCATTTTGTACTCCCCCCAACCTTTTGTTTGCACTTGTTTCTTTCCTTTCAGTAGCAATGCCAAAATAACTCTGGACAATATAGTAATGACATTAAAAAACCAGCACCTATTAACCTTATCTCTGTGTTTAAAAGTCAGTTCTAGTGTGCATACAAATTGCTAGAAAATTAAGTTGCACTACCAGAGAAACAAGAGGCCTCTAGCCACCAGAATTTACTGCCTATAGATTAGGCCTTGAAAGCTACTGCTACCAACCACAGTGTTGTTAAGGTGATACTGTTTACATAAAAAAACAGTTGGATACAATTCATCATACTCAAGGGCACCATAAGTATTTGCAAAAGTCAATTTTACAACTGCTTCCCTGATTTGTGTTTAGCCTTCTGAAGCAATCCTTGTGTCAACAGGCATCTTTGTTTCCTTGTCATAGGTGACTGTTTAAATATACAGCAACAGTCAAGCAACTTTTAAATATGTTTACCTACAGGTAAATTACTGAGTTTTCTATTCATGCTTTTATACAAGTATGTTAAATTATACTTATTTTTCAGTTGTACAATGGTTGCTTAATACAG